TTAGATGGTTTTGCTATAATTTGTTTAACATACAGTCCACTTGGTACTTGAATTTAAGTTGAATTTTGAAGCCTGTCTTATCATGGATGAACTTTTGAGTACGAGAACAAAACTTCGTTCAAAGGCCACGAAACTGTGCAATGAGCTTCGAATTTACCGAGAAGGTGATCGTAAAAACTTGGACCCAGACCTACTTGCCCTCAAGCTCCACCATGTTCAGAAGTTGCAGAGCGAGCTGCACAGCACACAGGCTGAGCTCGACAAGCTAGGGCAGGTAGATGATTCTGGTCACATGCAGACCATGGAGGATGAGGTGTTTCTTGGCTCTCGCCTCCTCACCCGCCTTGAAAGGGCTGAGGAAGCCAAGGAAAGGGCTGAGCCACCGACTGTGTCGGGAAACGCTGATTTTAAGTCTTCCATCTCCGTGAAAATTCCTACTTTTCACGGGGACATCATGAAATGGTCTGAGTTCTGGGAACTATTTGAAATCTCGGTCCACAACAATCCTGGCTTCGCGGATATCCAGAGATTTGTGGTGCTTAAATCGCACTTGGCTGGAGTGGCTCTGAGATGCGTTGAGGGCATACCCGTCTCAGGTGGCGGGTACGCTGAAGCTGTCTCAGCTCTCAAAGAGCGCTTCAAGCGTGATGACCTGGTCCGAGAGACCTTAATGAGAGACATGTTGAGCATGCCGTCGGTCCCCCAAAATGACCTGAAGGCGATGAGGTCTCTCATAGATCATTTGATGGCGCATACTCGCGCGCTGAGTACCCTGGGAGTCAGTTCTGACAGTTTCTCTAGTCTGATGCTGCCGGTCGTGAGAGATAAAATCCCAGAAAGCTGGCGTCTCGAGTGGGCCAGACGAGAGAGCAGCGACTTCTCCGAGTTTCTGGAATTCCTGCAACATGAGATGCGAATCCGAGAGTCGGCCAGGGGAGGCAAGGCTAGTGCCGGTTCATCCGACACTCCGATCTCGGCGCCGTCTGCCATCAGCAGTCTGCACGCCCAACGCACAGCGTGCCCAGGGAAACAGCCCAGCGCGCCAGTGTGCGGGTGCTGCGGGCGCGGCTCCCACCGGCTGGATCAGTGCGCGGAGTTCCAGGAGCTCCCAGTGGAGGCCCGATGGAAGAGCGCCAGGGCTTCCAAAGCCTGCTATCAGTGCCTCGGGACGGGTCATGTGGCCGGAGTCTGTCGTGGCGACTCGTGTGCCATCTGTGGCAACAGGCACCACTCGCTGCTTCACTTTGCGAGGGCTGCCCCACATGAGGAGATCGGTGAAGAGAGGCCCGAGCTGTCGCTCGAGGCTCCACCTTTCTGCCCTGTGGAGGCCACAACTGAGGGTGGTCAGTCCGATGCCGAAGCTGGTGACTCAGGTTCCCAGAGCCACAGATGTTACAATGCCACAGGCATCTCTGGAAAAGAAACGTTTTTCCTGACGGCATTGGTTGATGTCGAGGGACCGGAAGGCAAGCGAAAGGCACGCCTCCTCATTGATGGAGGTTCAGATACCTCCTATGTCAGAGATTCTCTGGCCAAGGAGCTGGGACTCCCTGTAACAGGTACGGGCATGTTTGCCTGTTCCGGCTTCCAGGAACGGACGGAAGCAGCTAGACCGTATGATCAGGTACAAGTGACGCTCCGAAGTCGGTTCGGTGGCGATCCCGTGACGCTGAAGATGTGGAGCACAGAGTTGCTGTGCTCACCCCTCCCAGCCACCTCACCACCCACTTGGCCTTCCGGACTGCCGGATTTGATGGCCGACGATTTTGACGGTGGGGAGGTGGATCTCCTAATCGGCATCGATTATTTGTATCGTGTCGTGTTGTGGAGGCAGATTGAGATCGGAGAGGGTCTGCGGGCCATAGACACGGTCTTTGGCTACGCGCTTCACGGGTACCACGGCAATGATTCGCTGAATCAGCCCGGTCACCAGAATTCCCACTGTCGTCAGCTGAGACAGGTGAGAAGTCTGGCTGAAATGAAGGTCGGCCAAAATGAGGCCATTGATGTGGAAGGTGACGTACCGCCTGAACCACACAGGAACGAGCCAGAGGGCCGTCCCAAGGTGACGATTATGACCTTGAAGTCGGATGAACTCTCACCATCCGATCATGGTTCCGTTAAGGCGCGAACCTTGCCCATGCCAGATCTGCTCAATGCAGAAAAGTCTCCCCTGAGCGGTGAGCAGCATAAAACATTGACAAATAAAGACGGGGAGATGACTCTCTCCGCCAGGGGGACAAATGATGACCCAAAGCACAAAGGCGAGGATGGAGCCGGGCTGTCGCCGGGCAAACGCGACTTCTGGGCTGTGGCCCGGAGTCTAAAGCCCTCCTCGTCTCTCCATGGGGAGACCGCCCCGTCATCTGCCAATGCTGCAGTGGGCCGCAGCCAATGGTGTGCTGAAGCACCCCGGCGGCCCCGGCGGTGCCCGTCAACGCCGAAACTGGGAGGCTGCCGGCAGCCATCTCCGAAAAGACGACGTCTTCGGAGCCGCTGGAGGAGCCACGGCCCAAGACAGAGGTGGAGCCTGAGCTGGAGGACGCCTGCACCACCGGCAGCACCGCCTCACTTCCCAGCGTTCCCACGCCTGTGGAAAAGGAGGAAAAAGAGGACGCAGCCGATGACGCTGGCCTCCGGTCCAAGGACCCATGGCCAGCTGCGGGAGGACTGACGAGGCCCGCAACGACTGCCGCAACCAAGCGTGCGGACAGTGGTGTGATGTGTGTTTACTTGTAATTTGTAAGCGCGTCGTGTTGAAAATGTGTTAACTTTAGAGTTCCCACATTTTGGTGGGGAGAAATGTTAGTATTTGTTACATCTTTACGGCCGCCGGGCCAACCGGCTGGCCGCCGCTGCTGCAGCGAGCAGCGCTGCGGCGCAGTCTACCCGGCGGGCGCTCGGCCGCGCCGCGCGGCGCGTTCGCTGATTGGTGACCCGTGGATCACGTGACTGGCGGTGATGTGGGGCCGGTGCCGCGGCGGCGGCGCACTCTCGCAGGAGATTCGGGCGGGACCGGAACGTTGTCCGTGTGGTGTGGCTCTCGGAGTCGGACTGATGTGCCGGCTATGTCAGCTCGCTCCGCGGCAACGTGTTCGGCGTAATTTGTTGCACGCTGTTGAGAATGGGACTACTGTCCTGTTCGAAGCCCACCAACTAAATTGCGCCGAACAGCCAAAATCTAAAGAGATGGGACTGCAGTCCTACCTCTAACAAGATCCTCTTTTGGCTACCGGAATTTAATTTACATGTTTGCGGCACTTAACTCGTTCCCATGGCCTCACCGTGGTTTCAAGGAGGCAATTTACGGGTAGCGACTGCGCTCATGTCGCATTCGAGTCACGTTGTAATATCAAGTCATTGCATTGCACAGTTTTGTTTGTCTGTTTGATTGACTTATCGTGGCAATAAGACGTGAGGAGCCAAATCCACAGTCTTTTGGTTAGATTTGATTTGGACAAAGGCCAGAGGCGAGAGGGGAATCGAACAGTCGGGCTGAGTTCCTGACAGTGGGTGAAGCACTAAAGCATCACGGAATCCCACAGGACCTGCGAGTCGACGAGGTGGGCCGCTTTGGCCGCCGGGTACTGCAGCTCCCTGGAGTTGCCTGGGACCGATGGCAAAACAACAGCTCCGGCGGTGCCCCTATGGGCCGTAGTAATTAGCGAATTCCTGTAATGTAGAGATCATATCCTCAATAATCTCCATTACCATTTTATATTCCTAAACAGTATGACAGAACAATTATGCTTGCCTACGTTCAGGCATTACCTCTGATGGTCATACGTCCAGTACAACATGTGTTGTCTGTCAAACAACAATCGACGACGGGATCTCTTCTCATTATCTCTTAAGCCATCGGTTGTCAATTCACCCACCCCGTTTCCCTAAAAATAGACGGTCAGATTCGGCCTGGGTCCTTACGACCCCTCTAGATTCGCCAGAGACGGGATCGGATCGCCGTTATTGCACCCGTCTTAGTGTCTTTAATACTATGACAGCTTCGACCACGGACTTCGGACGGGGTGATCGTTCTACGAATGTACAGTCTGTCTTAAAAGTACCGCGCAAAGTGACGGTGGATCCATCATGCCTGACCGAGGAAGGGCCTACTAAATTTGAGTCACTGAAGCAATTCACATCCTCGTCCATTCCCTAGGTCAATTGGTTCAGTGACTTTCAAATTATAGCAGCCCCTTCCTCAGTCAGGCTTGATGGATCCACCGTCACTTTGCGCGGTACTTTTAAGACAGACTGTACGAACCATCCAGGCCTAGAGTGCATCGAGGTTTAAAAGAATGCAGTCTGTAGATCAATAAACATAACAATGGTGGTATACAACCACATTAAAATATCTCCCCGGCTCCCGCAACGTTCCAACGCCCCTCCGTTATGCATTCGCCTTGTGTGTCCGCCGAGCCGGCTTGCCTCCAATGACGTCATCGGCCGGCCGGCGGCGTTCAAGGTCAAACGGCTGGTGTCCTTACCTGGAGTTCTATAGCCTTGGTCGGTGACAATCAGGCTCGGCTAAATCCCTCTCATGGAGCCACCGGGCGGCGTTCCTCCGACCGAGCGAGCACCGGCGGCCGTCCGTTAGGGCGCCGCAGACTGCCTAATGGCTGAGTAAATGGCCATTGCCGGCGCCCGGCGCCCGCTTGAGTGGCTCCTAATCACCATTGTCACATCCCATTGACGGCGCGCTGGCTTTGTGTGCGGTCTCCGCGCAAGACAGACCGGCTCACCACCCGCGCCAGCCGTCACACGGTGCACGACACAGGCAAAAAAAAAATATGCAGAATGTTCGAACTCCTGCCTTTCCCGGATTATTTGCACCATGTATTGTAAATTTTTGTATGCATGTTTGCGAGCTGTCTGACATGCCGGCTGGAGATCATGAAGTTTTGCACTTCTAGGACTTCTTCCTTGTTGATGGATCTGAACCGTCCATGCCCTCCAGCGCCAACTTTTATCTCTTAGCTAACCCGTGATCGTTCTTTCAGCCACCTGAACCGCACCACGACCTACGAGGACCCGCGGCAGGAGGAGGAGCCTCCACCGGAGCCCCGGCAGGTCACCCTCCACCGGCACCCCGAGCTGGGCTTCGGCTTTGTGGCCGGCAGCGAGAAACCGGTCATAGTCAGGTGAGTGACACAGGGGTGTGACTGGGGAGATGACCCGGGGATGGGGCTGTTCCGGCGGGGTTGGTGATGTCTCAGTTAGGGTTTTTTTGTGAGTGAAGGATTGTGTTAAATGAGAAATATGGAACGGTGAGAGGACGAGTGAGGGGTGAGAGTCATCTTCCGCAGTGGCATAGCGATGCTTTTTACCGAACCCATCGCTCCGCCGTTCGGCTGCATACAGTGCATTAAGTGCAGCTGCGAGTTTGTTCGGTGCAGCATAATGTTGTTGACTCTTCAGAGACAATGGTCGGAGAAAAGCTCGAATCCTGTTTGGCATTGTATCGCTGTGAAGCATCCTTAGAATATTCACGCAGTTTTATTGTCCGCGCCGTTTTCTACTTGTCTGTGTTGAGCCGGACGCAAACACTTCTCTCACTCGCGAGGGATTTCACCAAAGAACTCACATTTATTTGAATAGATCTCTCGACCATCATGCAGCGTGATTGAATTCGAGCTCGGCTGGCTTTTAAAGTACCGTTTCGTCAACCGCTTCCTTTACCCTGCTGCACGCATTTTCCGAGTCGCTCAGCAGCGCGCGTCTCAAGATTCGTTTCTAGGAAATACCAAGAACGACATTGCTCTTGTGCTTTTACGTTGCATGTCAGCCTGTCAGATCATCGAGCCGAAATCGGCGCTGAGATGTGGTTGTGCGTGGGTTGGAGATTATGTGATTCCCGACTTTCCAGTGATGAGTTCGTATCGACCTGCTTCGGATCCGGATCACTGATCCTGTGATTGTGTTGGTTTCTGACTTGTCGATTGGCGAGATTAGGGCAACACAGATATTTTGGATAGGGCTCAGGCGTCCGCAGCATCAAGGATAGGTACTAATATGTACACACGCTTTTCATGTGCATAGCGTTAACGTGTACGTTGTGCGCTACTCTGAGGCTAATGTGGGCTTTTTAGCTGATCTTTTGCTTTTTATACTCCTGGAAATGAAACAATCCTAATAAAGGTGTTTGATAAAACCATAAAACTGATAACCGCACACATTGAATGTGATGATAGGCAGTCTGAAGAATTGCTTCAGAATGCCGGTTTTACTGCCGAGTATCAAGAGTCTATGGTGCTGAAGTGTGATGATGGCCAGCAGTGGCAATATTCAGTGAAAGTGATCACTGACGCCATTTTCCACTATGTGTCTGCGGTTTTAGATTTTTCTCTGCAGCCACTTCATATTCGGCTCCCTGCTTTATGATGTCGTGAGCTCCATGTGTCAACCACGGAGCAGACGCACCACGGAGCACTGAGCAGTCTGTTGTGTCTAGTTGTCTCGTTCCGCTACCGACAGGGGCGGATCCAAGGGGGGGGGGGTCACATGGGTCATGGCCCCCCGCTTGAGGCCCGGGGCCCAAAGACCTGCCAGGGGCACCATCGGCCTATCAGGGGTATCACAGTCCTGGGCCTGGCAGGGGCACCACAGGACCGCCAGGGGCACCACAGGCCTAGCAGGGACACCACGGGCCTGGTGCCCCTGGGCCCTGACAGGACTGTAACGCCCCTGACAAGCCTGAAGTGTCCCCGGCAGGCACGTGGTGCCCCTGACAGGCCTGAGGCGCCCCTGCAAGGCCGGTGGTGCCCCTGGCAGGCCTGTGGTGTCCATGGCAGGCCTGTGGTGCCCTTGCTAGGCCTCTGGTGCCCCTGACAGGCTTGTAATGCCCCTGGAAGGACTGTGGTGCCCCTGGGCCCTGACAAGCCTGAGGTGCCCCTGACAGGCCAGTGGTGCCCTTGCTAGGCCTGTGGTGCCCCTGGCAGGCCTCTGGTGCCCCTGACAGGCTTGCGGTGCCCTTGGAAGGACTGTGGTGTCCCTGGGCCCTGACAAGCCTGAGGTGCCCCTGGCAGGCCCGTGGTGCCCTTGTTAGGCCTATGGTGCCCCTGGCAGGCCTCTGGTGCCCTTGCTAGGCCGCTGGTACCCCTGCGCCCGGAGAGGACTGGTGCCCCTGAAAAGTCTGAATTGCCCCTCGGCAGGCCCGTGGTGCCCCTGACAGGCCCAAGGTGCCCCTGGCAGACCTCTGGTGCCCCTGGCAGGTCTGTGGTGCCCCTGGCAGGTCTGTGGCGCCCCTGGCAGACCTGTGTTGACTGGTGCCCCTGCTAGGTCGCTGGTGCCCCTCACAGACCTGTGGTGCCTCTGGGCCTTGACAAGCCTGAGATGCCTGGCTATGACAGGCTCGTGGTGCCCCTGATAGATCAGTGGTGCCCTTGCTAGGCCTGTAGTGCCCCTGGCAGGCCTCTGGTGCCCCTGCTACCCCTGCGCCCGGAGAGGACTATGGTGCCCCTGAAAAGCCTGAAGTGCCTCTCGACAGGCCCGTGGTGCCCCTGGGCCCTGACAGGTCCGTGGTGCTCCTGGCAGGCCTCTGGTGCCCCTGGCAGGTCTGTGGTGCCCCTGACAGGCCTGTGTTGACTGGTGCCCCTGCTAGGCCGCTGGTGCCCCTCACAGGCCTGCGGTGCCCCTGGAAGGACCCCTGCCCCTAGGGGTGCTCATGGGCCCAACAGGCCCGTTGTGCCCCTGACAGGCCTGTCGTGTATACTTGCTAGACCTGTGGTGCCCCTGCTTCCTGGCAGGCCTGTGGTGCCCCTGGTGGGCCTGTGGCGCCCCTACAAGGCCGTAGGTGCCCCTGACAGGTTTGTGGTGTCCCTGGAAGGACTTTGGTGCCCCTGACAAGCCTGAAGTGTCAAGGACAGACCCTTTAGACGCCAGGGTCAAGTTCGTCGGACTGACAACGATTTGCTTACCTGATAACGTTCCTGGTAAGTACTCACTACTCAGCGTCCACAACATATATACACATAGCACATTCATATATACTTGCTTACAATTGGTAAATGTGGTTGTGGCTAAGAGTTAAGATACTGACTAAAAAGAAAAAAGAAAAAGAAAAAAACTGAAAATGGGGGCACCACCAAAATGAAGTGGACGAAATCCGTTGAGTTTTTAATTTTGGGTATAGGTAGGGGCACCACTTCGATTCATGACCCTCCCCTTGGAGTTTTCCTGGATCCGCCCCTGGCTACCGATGCCAATAAATCACCTGATGGGCCACAGACCAAGGACTCTCCCCTCTTTGCGCCGCTGCTGCCGCCGTTCCGTCGTCTCCAAACAGATCGCTCTCGTTGCGACGGCGTGTGAAACAGACGAGCGCGGCTCGCTTTCATGAGTTCAAAACTGGCATACGAGAAGAGCGCATAGCGCTTCTGTCTTTTCCAACTGGACTAAGGCATGCTGGACCTGTCTTCACTTCTAGCTTCACTCTTGTGTTGCACTTTGCTAAGCGCTCACATACGGCGCAGCCATTCGGGTTGGTCCTGCTCTCGTTATATATGCCGCTGCTGATCCGCTCGACCTACCATGAGTCACAGCCGGCGTCCAATCCCCCTGACCCCCGGCCTGTGATCTGACCTCAGATTCAGACCTGATCCATGGCATAAGCTCCGACCCCTGACCTTTTCCTTATCTGATTTTCCCTGACGGGTCTGATAAATGCGCGGCCGGTGTGGTTCTTTCAGCTCCAGTAGGTCATTTCGTGTTACCTGCCCGTATCTCTGTTGTCGATTTATCGACTCGATTCGGTGCGCAGCGATACAGTCATCGATTGCATTATGTCTCCAGACAGGAATACATTCCTGTTATCGTTAGTATGACGGATGGTGGCGCCCGTACCTGGCACGACCTCACGACGGAACTCGTGTCGGGCAGGTGCCGCGCGCGGCGTGCCGGACGACATTGGTGGGCCAAGGGCGACAGCTGCTCCCGCAGGCAGGAATGGTGAATGACTAATGACTTGTATAACCAGTAAAACGCCTTTTGGGCGACCAACGGAGCGAGCGAGAGGATGGGCCTTGCACGTGCGAAATTGCGAGGGGGTACCTCCAACTAACTTGTGCACTGCACCCTACTAACCGGTCTTTAGCGATGTGCCAAATTTCAGCGCAATCGGCCTAGCCGTTCTCGAGATCTGGAAGCGGCACACTGCACGTGCGCACGTGCAAGCGGGGTCCAAACTGACTTTTGCACGGCACCCTACTAACTGGTCCCCAACCGTGTACCAAATTTGAGCGCAATCGGCCCAGCCGTTCTCGAGATCTGGGAGCGCCCCCTGCACGTGCGCACGTGCTGTAGCACCCCAACCTTAACACATGCAGATGAATTATCTGATGGAGACCTAACTGTGTACCGAGTTTCAATTCAATCGGCCCAACCGTTGTGCCGTTATTGAGGTTGCAATTTTGGGGGTTCTTAAAAAATGTCCAACTTTACCACGCGCCACGTGCGGTGTTTGGCAAGAACGCATGGTGGCCATCACACCACAGAACTTTTACGTCCAAGTGACATTCAGTAAAGAAGACCGCTTGTCAATCGGATGTCCCGTTCCTAAGATATTAGCTTTTGAAGAGCGTCCCCACGGCCGGCCGGCCGGCCGGCCGCTCATACTCAGAATTTTCCCTTAATTCAGTATGAGACTCCGCTCGCTTCGCTCGCTCCGTAAAAAATGGGATATATTTAGAGCTTACTCCGCTTTATTTATTTGTCGTGATTATCGGTGGCTGGAAACATGAATGTAAGGAGATCTGATGTTGCCATTATAGGCAAATTTGCTTCATTTTGATGCCATGATATGTTTATGAATAAATATAATATTTGATAGATTGTTTCGCCGAAGTTACCATCTATAAGCACCTTTCTGGGGCTATTCTGGACAGCCGTCTGCTAGCTCCGACCTGCGCGAGGCCCCGGTGCCTGCCCTCATTGTCTGTCGATTGAAGTGTCCGACAACCGGCCGGGCTCGGCCCTCCCCCGAGAGCCCTGCAGCAATCAGCACTGCCCGGTGACCGGGTGACCTGGCACCCCCGGGAGGCGACACACTGAGTGGCCGGACACTGCCCTGATGAGAAGCGCGCCGGTGCAGACGGTGCCTGTGATTATTTTCCCAGAGGTGTTGCCGTCGTCCCGACACACCAGA